CCAACTTGATCATTCATTGTGAAATTCAAACAACTTCTTCAAAAGATGAAATGCTGAGATGGTATTTTGCTGTGATTTCCTGTCTGAGATTTTAACTAATGTGTAATTCTAAGGTACTGTATGACACCAGAGGCAGAAAATTATTTAGCCTACTGATGGAAAAGTATATAAACTATAAATCTATATCAAAATGTATATATAGATTACTTCTTTGTGCTTTCTTCAACTTTTGAAGCCCCACCCCTAATTTTACATTTATTTTGTGCAGTAGCTTCCTGTGACAATGCTAAAACCAGAGGGATTACTTACGGAATGTCCAGCTGCCTCCACGGTCATAAATTAAAAGTGCCCATTTTTGATGGACAGCAGGGTAGGAATGGTTTAGGAGCTACCTACTATGTCCATAGTATTAATCTTGGTTTGGTTTCGGCACAGGGCAAGCTCATGCCAGCTGCCTACAAGGAATGGTTCCTCACCTTACGCCCGCTCTAAAGTAGACCTGCTGTTGTTTGGGAGAGTGTTATGTGGCCACCATGCCACATGCCCTGGGCACTTCTAACAGTAAAACTATGTGAACCAAATTCTAGAGCTTGGAAATGCCTTGTGCTACTTTTTAATTTACTAGGATAGACAATAACTACCTATATCCTATGAAGACCTTTCTTCAGATGTCACTTACTTTCAGAACAACCTAAGGACAATGGTTGGCATTGAATGATTGTGTCTGAGTGATAATAAGGCAAGCTCCTTTGGATAGGGACAAGCTACTTCCACATTTCTACTACAGTTTTGAAAGATAGAGTGAGAATGAGTTCAAGATCCTTGTCGAAACCATTTCACTTAATTATTAAGTCAATCTTTGCTGCATGATTGTAAAGCATGCCCTTGCAAACTGACAGGACCATTTCTGTGACACCTGCAGTGACTGTGATGTGAAAGAAAAAAGGAACTAAAGCAAAAATGGGGAAACCATTACTGTTTGCAATAGTCTCCTTAGTACAAGATTTCTAAATCAATTTATATCTCAGTGCAAGGATATGGCTGAGGGAAGATAAGCTGTGCCTGAGAGAATGACTACAATATGGGAGTGGAAAAAATTTCCTGATGAAAACCTCCATAGACTACAGTAAAACACAAAACCCTTTCTTAATCCACTGAGAAAAATAATTTGCCTTTTATTGTTGTTCCTTAGAAGGTGCCATGTGATCTTTCTGTGATTTATTTCTTTTGAGCTGAAAAGTTAATATTACAAGCAGATATTTGTAGGAGTCTTGTATGAAATTATGGGACAAACCATAGCATTCTATGGTGAAGGAAAAGTCTGAGAAACAGATTTTTAAGAATCAGAAGCGCCCTGTAATTAAAATATTCTTCAGGATAACTGCAAAGATAATGTATATACTTATAGAACTAATTGCAAATGATCAGTGACCATTGCTTTCATAAATGTGAGGATTTCCTAATGTAATCAAGCTAGATTATGTAATCAAACCTTGGATAAATAGCTTTGGTATTTCTCACAATTACAGTCTTTAATAGTTTTTTCAAATTGATGTCATTACATTTAAAACTTTTTAAACTGATTACTGCTAATCTGGAAACAGTGATCAACCCATCGTCAACTAAGAAATTAAATGCCCTTTTTTATTAATTAGTAGTTGATTTTTTCAGCTCATAGAAGTTTGTGGTTTGCTTTTTTTAAAAAAAGCCAAGCAAAAATATACATTAAAATCAGAATGTGACTATTTGCTGAAACATTTAATGTGTATTTATGTAAATATTAATATTTAGGTTTATAGTATATATATTATATTATATGTATTATATAAAGAAAAGCTGACTGTGTAAACACAGGATATTTTATTTTATAGAATGGGCTTCTATTAACTCAGGAATATTATCTGTGAATGTGTTATATAAAAATCTCCTTCTGATGCAGGTGCAAAACTGCTTCTTATTAAAAAACTAAAATATCACTGTAGGCTAGTAGCAGAGGAATGGCCACACCTCACTTTTGTACAGCAAAGAGCAGCATATTGGAACAAGGTTGTGGAAAATTCCAACCTCCCACAATGAAACAAAGTTAGAGTTAGTCCTGCCAAACCCTTAGGTTATACAACACAAATAGGAAAATAATTAAATAATTATTATTTAATTTAGTAACATTGGTTGTAACATACGTGATGTATAGGATTTGACATTAGAATCAATGTTTTTTTAAGTGGTTTATATATGGAATAAATCATTGAACAACAGAAGTAACTGTACTGAAATCTGTACCCTCCACAATGGCATTTGTTGAACATGATTTAAAAAAAAATCCCCATACAAACTAAAAAGACCAATGTTTGCAACTGGTTATATAAGAACCGATGGATTATTAAGGAAAAGAAACAAAAAACCACTGGCAAGTGTTTTCAGCAACAAGATCCTCAGATAAATCAAAGTTGAATTCAAATGCTTTTTCACTAGCTTTTGGGGCTTTTTTGTCCTTCTTCTAAAGCCTTTGTACCTATCTGAGAACCAGCTGCTCAGGGTCACCCATTCACAAATGTCTGAAATGTGCCTAGCCTGTAACAAGGTCTCTAACAAACTACACAGTAACAGCTGATGCTGCTTGTATAACAAACTGGCCATTTGAGAGAGCTTTGACCTCTGCTTTGGATTCAGATCCAGTCCTGACTGACTGAAATGCTGGATCACACTTTGGCTTATATATGTACACACACATATAAAGGCAGCTATGTAGTTAAACATGTTTGTTTATTTTGTTGTACATTTTCATTTTTTTTCTTTTGTCATTACAGCTCATTTATTCCCTCATAGTACTTCTTAAGTAGTATTTATTTTCCACTTGCCTTGTTACCCTGTTAGGAGGAAACACTCTTTCTGTTTTGTTTATTCCTGCTTCTTCTCCACTTACGTTTTCTTATTCTTTCCTGAGACAATGGTATTTTACTGATAACTATGATTCACAGACTTGGAAAGTACCTCAGTCATGAAATAAAATCCATCAGTGTTTGGATTAACTCAAAGACTAATGTAAAAATATAATTTTATAGGAATTATTGTAATTGAGATTTATCACACCAAAGGTATGATAGAAAATATTCGTAAGAGAGGATGAAGATCAGCTTTTATTTTTGTTAATATTTATAACAGTTATGCTGAAAAATACAGTTAAGGGTCAAGATCCACTGTAAAGAGCCCTGCAAGAACTGACAGTTTGAGCTTACAGCCTCATGAATACTGTGACTTTAATAATGCTACTTGTAGCCTTAAAAAGACCTAGATATATTTCTTCTAGCACTCACTTTATTGTTTTTCCCATTATAATCTATATAAAGATGCAACTGCTAGAGAATTTGATATGAGTCTTGGGGAATTTGCATTAAAATACCTGCAGTGACCCACCCAGAAGGCAGGGAGTTTCTGTGGTTCTTTCATTTTTTGAGTATTTTTAAAGATCTGAAACAATAGGAAACTTATTTCCTCATTACTCATTGAAACCTACCTGATTCCCAGCTATCTAAGATAATTTTCATTTTAAAAATTTTTTAAGTATAGACATTCAAAACGTATTCCTTAGATGTATTTATGACACAAAATTTTGACTTGTGAAGACAGCAACAGCTCCCAAATCCAAAAAGATTTAACTTACAGAGAAGCCAACAATTTGTAAATTATTACCTGAGTGAATAAATAGTTACTATGTCCTCTTCAATACAGCTAGTGGCAGCTTTTTTTGTGGTACCAGTTATTTAGGCTAATTGGGGGTCTTGAAAGAGCATTTTAATAGAGGTAAGGCACAAGGGTAATTAGTAACCTTGGCAAGAGAGCAAGCCTGAAGCTCTTTTAGAAATAAGAACATTTGAGTAAAGCTTTTGTCGGTGGAAGAGAGACATAAATATTAGTATTTAATATATAAATTTTATATATAAATGCTACTTATGATTTTGAGATTCGTTGATGTTAGCAGGATTATTATTTTTGGTCTTGTATATTAGACCCTATACTGTATAGCTATGTAATTTTTCAAATGTCATCCCAGTTCTTTCTTCTTCACTTTGTTATTTTTTAAATTGTTCTCAGTTCTTTTTGTGTTTTCTCATGTGTGCTGCATGCCTGCAAGCACAGTTTGTTTCCCTGTTCTTTTTTATTCCTTTGGCAAGAAAAATAGAAAAACTTGACAAGGAGTCCCAGGGCTTCTTGGAATGTGTTAAGGTGTCTCTTTTTCTCTGGAACAGCCTCTTTGACTTTCTGCCAACACCTTTGCAGTTTTAAAAGCTTGTGAGTGAAGTGTCGTGTCCTAATCTCACAGAGAGAATGGAAAGGGGTAGCTTCACATCAGAAATGCAGGGCCTAAGTATTCACCTTTTTGGGGTGAGGGGCTGAGTTGCACAGAATGTGGCTATGAACACAGATGATGCAGAATAATCAGACATCTTTTTGAGATTATTCTTGTATAAACACAATATTACAAGAAAAAATCAGGATAAGCAGACATCGCAAGAAATAATACGGGGTTTTTTCTATCCTTGAAAAGTGAAACAGCTAGTAAGGTGAATGTGGTCGTGTATTAAAACTGACAGTTTCAAAAAGAAAGAAATAACATAGGCCATAAGAATATGTTCATGCATATTAAAACAAAATACTGCCTTACTGTGCTTGGTAAGTCTGCGTGCTCAGCTTTTTCTAATTCATCTGCCATGGACTGTAAAATAAAATTGACCTTTAGTCTCCTTGTAATTAGATTAACAGCCATATTTAAGAATACAATCATGTATTAAAAATAGTCAATTTTATTTCATCTCACTGTGCTATTATCTGTCAGAATCACTGACGCTTTACCTAATGATTAATTTAGAAGGAATATCTCTTCTCAAGCATATAGGATACATCACCAGGCCCTTTTTTCAGAGCCAGCCCACTATACAGGTACAAACATATTTCTCCCTTCAGCTGCTTCCAGGCTCAGCCACCTGTCTCTTTTCTTGCAGAATGATTCCTGGGGAAAGCAGTATTCCTATGCACTCTTCAAAGCCATGAGCCATATGCTCTGCATTGGTTATGGAGCCCGTGCCCCTGTCAGCATGTCCGACCTGTGGATAACCATGTTGAGTATGATCGTGGGGGCTACTTGTTATGCCATGTTTGTTGGTCATGCCACTGCCCTCATTCAGTCTCTGGATTCCTCACGACGACAATATCAAGAAAAGGTAACCCATTTTCTCATAACTCCTTAACTTCTGAAACAGATTAATGGAATGTTTTAACTGTGGAAAAGGCTGTATGAGTTTACATGAAATAATCTAGTAGTGTCTGAATCCTGTGGCATATGTCATTGAACACAAAGGAATTCAGAAGACTCCATAAACTCAATATATTTCTGCATGAATCCAGTTTCCTTAGAAAGTAAGATGTTCTCAATGTTCAACTTCCTTTAAACTCTTCCATGAAAACTCAATTTCCCTGGTTCAGGGAAATTCAGTGTAGCTTTGTACCCCCATGCTACACTCTGTAGGTACTTGATCTAGGTAGCTTGGAGCAAGGGCCTTGAGCTTGGTAGCATGGCCATGTCTGTACAATTTTCTGTTATTCCTTTGGAGTGCAGTTCAGGGATCACCTAGAACATGTCAAAAGAATGTCCTTTAAATGACAACGAGACCAAATCAATTAGTTTCATTTGTAACTTCCTTTAGAGAAGTGCTCAGAAGAGGCCTTCGTTTGCCTTGTAACAAATTGCCTTGTATTTTTTACATGTGAATCCATGACCTGTAAGGTTCTCTCCAAGGTCAAAAAGAACAGTGGCCAAAAGGTAGAAAAGTAGAGAGAGATTGGTAGAAGCGAGTTCTTTATGAAACAGGAAGAAAAAGGTTGTTTGAGTCCATGTAAGTAAGACTGGAATTAAAGAGACAGGAATGGGTACAGGGTGGGAACTTTCTGTAATAAGTAGTAATTAATGCTGTCAGTATAATAAAAATCAGAGACAAATGTGAATGAAGGTATGAAACTAGGAGTTAAGACTAGGAATGATGGTATAAGGAAGAAAGGATCAGAATGAACCTCAGCCAGGGACAATAAGGATGTGTGGAATTACTGAGGTGCTTAAAAGATGACAAAATTTGCTATTATAGAAAATGGGAAACTGGACAGGCCATGCCAGGGGAGAGATCAGCTGAGCAAAGTAGTGAAATCAGAGTTCACGTCAAAAATGAAGAAACACAACCTGAGCGATAGTATTTGGCATATGTCCATAACAAAGGCCAGTAAGGCAAACTGGGCAAAAAAGAGTGTGATGTAACACACACCTGGGGGAGAAACCTGGCAGATAGAGAATAGAGAAGAGAGTGACCCTGGCATATGCCGAGTATGAAGAGAAATGACCTGAATTTGCTGGACAAGAAGGAGAGAAAACTGAAAAAAATATTTGGGTTGGATGGATTGGGGCATTTTCTTTACAGGCAGGCAAAGAGGAAGGAAATGAGAGCATGTGGATGAAAAAACAGTTTACATTCAGTTTTGTTAAGCTCAAATTGCAACATGACCATAGGCTCAGTATATGAGAAACAGGAAGAGGTAAGGGATGAGCTGTATATTCAGTGACAGAAAAATTAGCTTGTGGCTGACAAAACAGCTGTTCAAAACAGAAGTTTGCAAGCAAGAAATTTCACACACTGTAGTATCATGAAACATAAGTGAGAATGAGCAGTTTAGAAAGAGAGGATAAGTGAGCATTAAAATCTCCAAAAACCTAAGCTGTCGGTGACCATATGAAACCCCCTTATTTCATCTCCATATGAAGTCAAGGGCCAATCCATGTAACCCAACTGGCTCGTTGGGTCTATTCTGCCAAGTGAAAGGAAAGTAATTTTACCCAAATGGGACATTTCTAGGGAGCTGTGGGACAGAAACATTATAAGAAGGGACATGAGGTATAACTACAGCTTCATTAGAGTTTAGGGTGAACATACACACACACTATACACAGATGTATGAAATAGAGGAAATGTCACTATCCACCTAAAAACTCATCTTAGTTGTTATCCTCAGACCTTGTTGGCTGCAGCATGGTATCATAATATTTTGAGCATAAGAAATATAGTACATATGTAAATATATCCATATATTGTAAACTGTGCAGAGTAAAACCAGTTTCATTTGCAGTTTTGGTGTAAATTAAAACCCAGTAGCAGTCAAGCAGTATTGCATTTCTCATGTTTTCTCGTTAACAGCAAGCAAAAGTGTTTGTTTGTTTGTTCTCTGATTTTATAAACACACTTTATTAAACACTAGCATAGAAATATCTGGCATTTTTTAATTCCTTCGATTCTCAACATTTTTATTCCTCTTTTTAGTTTTACTTCTCACTTGTTTCCTGACTTCAGAGGCAAAAAAATAGCATGACATTGACAATCAGAAATGTAAGAAATGATCCAGAAATTGCATGTTTCTAGGCTTTAGAGAAATGTTTCTCTTTTGCTGAAAGCCCCTTGTAAGCTAGTTATTATGGACTAGAGCTAAAGGATGTCTTAATTAAAGAACTTTTTTTCTATTGATTTCTGAGACCCTGAAATTATACATATAATATCAGTTATAACAACTATACAGTCATGTTTGTATATTCTTAATCATTGCTTTATCAGAGTCAAATCATATTTGGAAATAAATTTTTGATTATAGGCTAAGAATTTTAAGCTATTTCTATATATTACTGATGAGTGTTTTATATTTGTCTTTACTCTGCAAACTAGATAAATAGGTATTTCAAAGATCAGTTTATGCTACCCATTTTATTGGCATATTTTCTAAAGTATTGGCAGATAAAAGTTGCTTATGTTTCACTTATCTGAGATTTGAGAAAAAGGTAAATCAAATCCCCAGCCACTGATTTCAGAGTTTTAATATAATACATTATCTATTTTTTGCCTAATGAATTGCTTTTTTTCTTCATCTGAAATTAAAAAATCAGGAGAGTGAGACTTGTTTTGATTTTTTGGGCTTAAGTTCTAAGATCAACTTCTTTTTTTAGACATATATATCTGTGGTTGGCTCCACTATTTTTCTTATAAGAATTACAGAAAAGAATGTAATTAGCACGAATTGCTAGGCAACATAGAATGATAGTGGAGGTGAAGAAAGAGGTTGTTATTTGATTCTTCTCTGAATAACATCATAAATGTGTCTGTGAAATATAACTAAAAGAAAAGGAAAGTTATGGTCCTTCTCACTGGTCCTTCTCGCACTGAAAGCAGCTAGAAGTGAAATATTAGCCAAAATATTCCTCATTCAGATCCTTCCAAAGCTCAGGGTATGCAAAACTAGAACAGGCATAGTTCAAAATGGAAGAACTAAGCACAGGAAGACAAGAGAGAGTTTTCATGAAGCCAAATATGTCAAACACCATCTAAGAGTTTGATCCGTCCCAAGGGTTGCATGCTGAGACAAATAAAAATATGACAAGGAAGCAAATATTGCTCCACATATTTACTGTTATGGGCCAAAGACATAATTTATAAGAGTAATTATAAGCCATCAAATGTAGAAGATGGGAAATAAAATTGTACAACTTGAAGTGGTACAAAAAAGAATGCATTGATACATTCTGGTCACTCTGAGGAAGTTCGTTTTTTTTTCTACTGAAGTAGTGAAACTGTTCTCACAGAAAAAAATACCTCTCAGATTTAATACATACCTCAGGTCTTGGTATCAGTTTGTGAGGGCCTAATACCTGACAAAGGAGAAAGATGTCCAAACCAGGTATACTCAATCCATATTCTCTCTTCAGTAAGAAAGTCTGACAGACCATTCTACCTTATAAAAGGACTGAATAAGTCAATAAATCAATGACATCTCAGCACTCTCCTCCCTGGCTTTGGTGTAAGTCAAAGATGAATGCAGTAGCAACTATAAGTTATTTTTTAAGTGACAACAGCTCTGACATTTTTTAACATCTAAGGAGTTACCACATCTCAAAGATATTTGCCTTTGCAAAGGTAACATTTATTTGAAAGAACCAGAAATGTGTATGCAGAACTTGTTAACAGTCTAGTGTGAAACAAAGAAGGCAAAATGAACAGTAACTTGACAGGGAGGTGAAGATCATTAGTTAAATATTTCTTCCTTTAGATGTTGGCAGTTCTTAATAGGAAGATGTTCTCCTAATGCTGTGAATGTCATTGAATTATCATGATTGAAGACAGGTTAATGTTTTCTCTGTTCCAGTCTGTCATGAGCATAAAGTATCCAGGGACAACAATCTAAGAGAGTCAAGATTTGTAGTAGCATACCGATTGTCTCTAGGCTTAAAGATTTTTAAAATGGTTTTAAAGAAAATCAGGTATTAGCTGGGGGTGTTTTATTATTTTAATTAATTTTAGTGATCCATTTTCATTATGTGTATTTTGTTTTTTTTTCTAGTAGTACTTGAGCAACCAGACAAGGTCTCAAAAACAGAAAAAGAATCAAACCACTTCTAGCAATTGCAAGTAATATAAGAGGCATAACAAATGGTTAATTCAACCATATATATATGAAAGGAAATGTAAAAAAAATTACAGCTGGCTCTGTATAGTGGATGCTGTCAGAGTCATGGGAAGGTATGTTAAATCATCATTAAATCTGTGAAAGAATTCTGGGTAAGACATCAACTTCCAATATCCCAAAGGACATCTCCTCCTAACTCCATAATCTGCTTTTATTTTACAGCCTTATTTATGGTTTTTTAGCACATCTTCAGCTAAATAAGTCTAATTCAAAAGGAGAAAAAGACCTAAATATACTTTTATACAGAGAAAAAGCAATTAATTGCATATAAAGTTAATTTAAAAGCAACCAGTAAGTTGTAAGTAGTAAGCAACTACTACACAATTGTGTAGTGGTATATATTTTTACATAGACAACATTGGGATTTGAAGCTCAGACTACTCATTTTTCACTTCATAATTATCTGAAGAAATATTTAAAAATTACTAACAGAGTTAGGGCAGGAGCTTTAGATTTTGCAGTGCAAGGCCTTGCCCCAGCTTTTCCAGTCTGTCCCTCACAGCTCCAATCTGGAGATCTAAACTGTTCATGCAGTCCATGAAGAGATACTTGAAATGCACTGCAAGATGCAGTAAACTCTTGGGGTGCTTTGGACGGCCTCCGGGAGGCTGTGATATGTACTTGATCACTTTGTGCAGTGAGAAAAATGAAGTCCTCCCTTTAAAAACTGGGA